ATCAGCAATATTTATGGGGCTAACAAGTAACGTTACTGTTTAAAAGACTTCTCTGAGCCTGCCTGCAACTCAAGTCATGTCTAATTTGGAGTATACAGCAGATTTCATCATAGGTATACCCGCCCTCAAAATAAAGTTGAATCAGTTCGTCTCTTATGAAAACTATTAAGGAATCAAGCATTGTAAATATTTTATTATTTACATTATGTTCTGTGGGATATTGTGCAGGGACAGACAGAAATATTACATAGGCTATAGACCTAACGTCAGGCCGCAAACGAGTAAAGTTACGTCTAGAGTAACTAAGTTATCGATGTAACAAAAACGGCATTGTTTCATATACACGTCACTGTACCGATGTCAATCTTAAAAAAATGAAAGGACATTATTTTTTCTTTCAAGTGGAGTTCGGCGCAACTGCAAAAACGAATACATCTTCTAGTTTTACTGCTAAAATGAGAGTCAGGCACGATGGATCGATCGAACAAATACATGGACATGTGAAACGATCAAGGTTCAAAGTTAAAAATACCACTGCGAAATCGAGACAAAAAAAAAAACGGACGACGCACGACGGGCGACGGCAGATATGGAATTCCATACCTCTCATTCCAGACTCTCTTGGGGCGCGCTGTTGAAACACACTAGCATTCAACTCGAGCTTTTCACGGACATAGATAAACACCTCGTCGTCGTCTTTCTAATTGCCATTCCCCTCGTCTTCTGAGCTTCTTGGAAGAAAAAATGGGGCATTTCATCCCCTTTTCCAGTTGTTATAGAAAATTTAACTTCACACTGATCCAATTTATTTTGTTATTTACACCTACCGTAACACTTAGGTTTCTATAATTCCAGTTCGCAGTGCTTTGGTGAACGTATGGCGGTATATTTTTATAAGCTGCTTTTAGGTTTATCCGTTGGAGACTCCAACAACATCTGCAAACACTACATAACAAACTTGGCGCCTGTTATCAAAGGATGTGATGTGATCTGAAGTGAAATTAACTCTTTTACGATGGTTGGCCGATCGTTGTAAAAAAAAACGAAACAAAACTTTTTCCTGACTACTGCATTCTGGGTGGAAATATTTTACAGACTGATTGAGACTGTTATGTATACTTTCTTTCAAGTAAGATACATGTACGGTTGACCGATTTTCGGGATTTTGCCAATAATGTACACCACGTTTAAATTAAATTACCCCATCCCCCAAAGAAACAAAAACAGGTAGTCTGTCTGTGGTTATAGTGTTTACTAATATCAATGTGCCCAAAAAAGCCTACAAGGGGACTGTTCGTGACTAGGTGAAAACATTTGAAGCGAGATATGGGACAAAGAGAACCCCTGCCTTTGTGTTGGTCATTGTTTGATCGGAATCTCAGGAATTCTTTGCAGACTTCGGGGGGGGGGAGTGTTAGGTAACAATAGTCTAGATTGTGTACATGTATGCGGATTGGACAGGTAAGGGGGTACCCCTCCGCCCCATATCTTGCCTGGTGTTGATGAAAATGTCTTATATACTTAATCGCGTCAACAGGGCACAAAAGAAAGCTTTTCCACACGATGCACTGAGAAAACCCAAAGAAATTCTTGCAAACATAATTAATTATCTCAAAATGCAAAAATCCCTCTACCCCAAAAAAATCTTGACAAAAAGAAAGAATTTGCAAAATGCGAAGCAGAAAGACAAAAGGAACTGACAAAAAAATGCATTTTTATTAAAATGCGAAAAAAGCCGCCTGAAACAAAATTGAGCATAAGAATGCATTTTTCATAAAATGCGAAAAAGCCCCAAAAAACTTGCCCCAAAAACGCCTTTTTCGTAATATGCGAAAAAGTCGAAAAAAATCTTGCCATAAAGGCCTTTTTCTCGAAATGTGCATGGAAAAACCCGAAAAACATCTTGACAAGAATGCCCTTTTGCAAAATGCGAAAAGCCCCCCCTTTAAAAAATCTTGACGAAAAAGACCCCCCCCAAAAAAAAAACCTAAGGAAAACAAAATCTGGTTCGGCTTCAATGCCGAAAGAGCTATAAATAAGTGCAGTTTTAAATATTGACCTGGAGGATGTTTTTTTCTCTCCTCCATCCGGGTGTGCGTTTCAACGAAATGACGGACCTACTTTAACGCGGATGTATTTCCTGGTCTGGTTGGGTCGACCACGTACTGTACATGCACATGTACAGGTACACATGTACATGTACATGTACATGTGGATGTACTGTACATGTACATACGCAAACTGCTACTCGTACAGGGTAACTTCAACCTCGTTCCCATGGGAACTATCTTGCCGTGCCATGTTGGTTGCCACCATGCCTCGCGCATTGTATAATAATTACATTTATAATCTAAATATTGGGATATTTAAATTGGAACTTTAGTCAGCGTGTTTACCAACGAAGAATTTTACGGTGCACGGCATGCAAGAGAAGGGGTGGGCGCGAGCGGCCTGCTTTTGAAATACGCACGCGACTGACGTTAAGCTCATGTATATTCACATTGAATAGCCAATCAGCGTCATTGTCGTATTCTAACGACCAGGGCTAGTAAAGAAACGCGCACGCAGTCGAGGATGGCGGTAACTTATTGTTACCCATACACAAACACGTACATGTACATGTTATTAAATTACACATGACGCTGCTTGGAATATGCGAACATGGCCGCCATTTGCCTACAATTTGGGACTAGGCCTTCAGAGCGATAGAAGTAACAAAGTGCCATTTTGATCTTAATTACCCAGGTCTTTGAATCTGAACTGGAAGGTAAGCTGGTTGATTAACTTGTGTTAGACGGATTTGTTCACTCACAGATCAAAATGTAGGTTAATGAAAGGCCAAAGCAGGCGCTGGAACTTACGTATGATATTCACCGGGCCTCTGTTAGTCATGTTAGTTAAGCCCCGGCTATACATGTAGGCCCAGTCCAATATGCCAAATGTGACTGAGCATTTGCTGTGCATGTACAAGTAGGCCTACATGTATGGTGAATTTACGTACATGTATACAGTTTTAGGGCAAGGAACATGCAATTCAAAATTTATTCCTCATGTCAGCAAGGCTTAACCTCCGAAACTGTGGGGTCTGACGTCCGCCCCGCTCCTAGAGAACGGGGCGGACGACGCGTAGGACCCCATGGTTCGGAGGGAAGGCCTACATGTACGTGTCAGCATGAACATGATTAAATTTTCTTTCCCCTTTTGGATGTTATGGCCAGGCCGAAGTAAAAACCATCAATATTTATAATCTTGAAGTTGAAGAAATTGTACTTGGCAGTTCTGGTGATATTTTTAATTAAAGAAAGAAATACACTTACAAAATATGTGATAGAGTGGGACTTCATGAGAACAAATCTTTTGGAATTTTTCAAATGTGACATTGCATTGAGGAGTTACGGAACTTACGGGCAATTAAGCCTACATGTCATGAAATTAGGGGAAAATTTAGCCAAGAGGTCAAAGGTCATCTTCTGTTTTCTTTATTACTGTTTTGGCACCACTGAGATGACTGTATGAATGAAGATAGTCTTTGTTTATCCATACTCCATGGTATCAGCCTTAATGAACATCTAGTAAAGCTTTTGTATTAAATATGGCTTTGTAAATTGCATAGAAAACTTGAAGTTAGGATCTAATTTGCATAACCAATTAGCTACTTAAGTGTAAATTCCCAAATTTAGTTATTCTGGCATGGGGGAACCTTGGTCTGAAATGAAAATAATGTTGATGAAAGAAGGAATGGTGTTCAAAATCTTGCGATATAAATTTTCAATGAACTTCCAAATAAACTGACAAATTTGCATAATTATTCAGTTAATTAAGTATAAATTCCAAAATTTAGTCATTTTGGCATGGAAAACCTTGCTCTGAAATGAAAATATAGATTAAAAAAGGAAGTCTTCTAAATACAGCTATTTGAAATTCTAATAACCTTCCAAATAAATTGACAAATTCGCATAATTAATTGGCTATTTTTCTGAAACAGATAAAGTGTTGAATGATTTTGGGGAAATTTTTAGATGAAGCGTGTGGCGGAGGTGAAGTTGAGTGCTGAGAAAGGGACCCAGGCCAAACTGTGCCGAAACGTCCATTTTCAAAATGGGGGCATGTGATTGTTTTGAGAGAAATTTCGCTGCACATTTTCTTTTTTTTTCCATGCACCTTTATTCTCAAAATTGTATGACAGATTATCTCATCAAGATTAAACTCTTCATTGACCATCTAATAACTGAAATCCGAGATATTGGATCCGGCGGAAAATGTGTGCAAAACAAAGAATTACCGAACCCCCCATAAATGAACGGAATCGCCCAACGAACCAACATGAATTGTAGTCACACTAAACATGTATAAACCCTCACAGTTATGATCAAACCCTCCTCTGACCAAAACCCTCAGTGAAATGCATAAATCAGCTGCGATGAGCTAGAGATCGGCCATGCGTTTTGGACTGACCGCGAGTATGCATACATGTACAGTACACGTGTACACTAGGGGTGTGCATTTGCGGGTATTTTTAGAACCGGGTACCCGTTTTTTGTTAACATCGGGTACCCGGAAAAGAGATCGCCTAATAACAAATGGCATTGCGCGCGACCCGGTGGATCATGTACCCGAAACACGGTTCTTTTTGGTACATAGGAAGCAAGCAGAACATTGTTCTAAACGTCAGAGTTAATCTCTCCTACCTTTTTATCAAACGAAATTGTTACCTTCAGTTCGCAAATTTTTTGTGGGTGCATGAAACAGAAAAACGAATCTTCACGGGGAACGTCAGAAAAGAGAACAGAGCTGCAAACCACCTACATGAAACACGCACATGCAAACGCTCAAAGGAAATGTCCCGGATGCTGCTTGACCACGTACACGCGGAACGCATGTGACGTGCACAAATGGTGAGCGCTGGTCGTGTCACGTGCGGACCAGATCAGTGCTATGTACGTCATGGGTTAAAAGGCTTAAAGTTTTATGTAACAAAAATACCACCGTAACTCAAACAATGCCCACACCATTACATCCACTTATTTTGAAGTTTCTGATTAAAAAAAAATGCCACCAAAATGCTTCAAACGGCGTTAAAAGTATCAGAAGTCTATATAGGGTTAGCAGTCATCCCAAGTTCATTTCTTTTCTGACGAGGACCAGCACGTTGCATAATTATAAATCAAC